AAAGATTAATGAGGTTCACAATATGTTTCCAAATTGTGTCCACGATAAGAAAAGGATTGAGAAAAAACCAAAAGCGATGAAATCACCTGGAAATAAGTTACAATGAATATAGGTGGTCTAAAACTGGATTCAAATTTTTTAATAGCGTTATATGAAACACACACACACAACACATACACACGCACACGAAGAGGCCAACACATAGCGAAAATGTACACATATATGGGTGTCGGATTACCGAAATTAAAGCTACGTCCAAACAAAATTTCCACAATATCCAACAAATGGGGTGACGAAATCTTATAAGTAAAATTAAAGCAATGAAGAGGACATAAGCTAACACTGGACAGCGTAAAGCAAAACCGTCTCAATCTCAGTACCTACACAATAGACAGTGCCGAAGGCTAGCCATACCCATGATAGCCGCGGTGGAGCTTACAAAGCTCCTCCCTAATCCTTATATATATATATTCCTTTTCGCCTATTCTCCACGACTTAACTACAAACAACGACATCCTCGTATATCCGCCACCATTTGACAACAAACTACGATATTCTTCTATTCACTGAAACATTTCCCGTAACGTTTTCCCAACTCAACGACCTATCAACTAACCAGCAGTCGAATTGTTGTCCAAGGCAACGATAAGGAGTTTGTTAGTTGATCATATTACTTGCTTTTTGTATAACTCATTTATCATTGCTTACCAATTCATCGTGTTATATACATACATATTTTATACTCTTTTTCTTGTTGTTAACTAGTAGTATTGTGCACGAATAACAATAAAGTAATCTAAAATCAACTGACATATAAATATATACATGCAAAAATCATGTGCAAATACACACACACATACACGTACACATACACATACGCATACGCATACATACATACATACATACACACACACACACACCACACACTCACACCACACACACACACACATGCAGAAGCCAACACACAGCGAAAATGCACACATATATACACACACACACACACATTTAAATTACCTCTTCAAGTATATTTGTCCAGCTCTCATTGAAATCAAAGATAATTCATATACACTAGTACAAAGCTAAAGTAATAAAAATAATGATAATAATAACAATAATAATAATAATAGTAATGATTATAATAACAATAATAATAATAATGATAGTAATAGCAATAATAGTAATAATTAATAATGGTGATATTAAATGATAGTGATGGTAATAGTAGTAAAGGTTGAAAAGATAGAAAGAAAGAGATATCTTCGAATAACGAATGGATAGCAGAGCAAGAAAGAAGAGCAGATAAGTTATATATTTAAAATTTTTCGCTCTCTTACTTTTTGGTGACATTTGAATGGAATACGACATTGCATATTAATAAGTTTTAGTAATGAACATCCAACGAAAACAGTAATTTCAGGGATATGGAATCGATGATAACCGAACTGAGAGACGGCAGATTGTTTGATTCATAATGATTGGTTGGATCAAGAAGTAATCTGTTTGTTATAGCATCTGAAAAATGGCCAGAATTAGAGGTAAAACATTCCTTTGGAATAATGGAATAATTAATACCGAAACAAGAAATGCTCCATAAAATATCATTCTGCAGCACAGTTAATGAAAATAAGATGGATGGGATTTATTTCCAGAAATTGTTTGATACTTTTCGAAATGAACGGATTGCAATGTTGTATATTATAAGATTTAAATTTTGAATTTAATAATGTTTAAATACTATTCTACATACAATCGCCTTCATTTGAAATAATTAGCAAAATTGAGAGTTAATTAGAAGTTGAAAAATGAGAAATTTTTTCAAGACAGTGGTTTTATTCGACAGACTTGACCATCAAAAGAATACTGGGTGATTTTTTGTACTGTAGAATGCATACATGGATTACCCAGATTGGGTGGGTCAATTATAGAGCTTTCAAAAGTCTCCTTTCTCAATGACGATCAAGAGAATGATGCAATCCTTCGATGTATTTGCATATTTGCACATATTTTTTTCTAGAATTTTGCTTGGGAAAAAATATTATATATAATCGTTACTTTGGCTAATGTACGATTTATTTAATTATTTAATTTGTATGTGATTTTTAAGCAAAGATTACGTAATATTTTTAAGTAACAGTTTATGACACCATTCAAGTGAAAGTTTATGTAGTATAAAGGGAATATTATACACTAACAAATGTGAGGCTTATTTAGGTGGGTGGAATGAAGTCATAACGTTATGAACCTTTTACAATCGATGAAGAATACTTCTTCAAGCATATTTACCATGCATTTTTTATACTTTATAAATATTTGATAAATTTTCTGATTTTTCAGAGTGCTTGCAAATTCGGAAAATCCCGAAATTGCAAGTCTTTTAGGCTTTTTGAAAAGGGAGCCGGTAATGCTCCAAACGTTTCAAAGATTTGTGAGCGAGACGATAGAGGTAATTATTTATCTTCCTTTTTCTTCTTTTTTTTCTTCCTTCTTTCTTCTGTCATTAACTAATTGCGATGTGAAGTAAGGGTACGATAAGACTGTTTATTCGTAGCCTTTTCAGTTCGAAACCTTGCTCATGACCCGCTTAGAGGAGGCGGAGAGGAGGTTGGAGGAATTTGAAGGGCGAAATGCCCCAGAAGAAATGAAAGAAGGATCGGCGCTTGAGGAGCCGTAATTTAACGAAGAAGAGGCAGAGTGGGCCCCTTTGCCTGAAAATGATGGTGATGAAGCCGAAAATTGGCCATCCGGAACGGAGTGAGCCACTCTGTTAGAGGAAAATCCTGAGGTGTCGGGGCATCAGTGGAGATAAGTGGCGTTGAGGAACCGGAGGGAGAAATCCGAAAAATCGTCTTGTAAGCCTTACTATAATGTATGCTTTAATATAGGAAGGGGACTAAATCAAACACTGAATTTTGCTCATCACATGAAACGAGTAAATCTAAGTTTGATTTTATTGCAGAAGAACAAGAATGATCAAAATTTCGGTTCCAGCCACACACACAACGTTGGATACAGTGATTCCGGAAGCATTTCACCCTGAAGATTTGGGGGATCTTCCGGAACAACTTCGAAGGGAGTTAGAATTACCAGAAGCAGAATCGTAGATGGTACTTCGAGAAGAAGGAAATGTCAGCATCGGTAATTTATAAATTTTTTTGCACTGAAAATGATTAAATGCTTGCTGTCTTCCGAAAGAGTGCACTATATTTTAGCTTACTATCACTTTCATCATGGAAACCAAAAAAATGACAAAATTTCCATATTGATAAGCAATCCGCTCTAATGAATGCTCTCTGCAAACAGTATTTTTTTTAAGTTTTAGTGTGCGGTATCTGCGACAGGCAATTCGATACACTAAAAGGGTGGCGCATTCACGTCTCGATGAAACACAAGCAGGAAGGTATTTTTGAAAGTATTGCTGTCATAAAATTAATTTATAGTATTGAAACCAACAAATAAACAATGGAAAAAGAAAAGATAGTGATTGATTGTTTATAAATGGTTAGACATAAAATTGAAATATGCAAAGACTTTTTGTCTGCAAATTTTAAATTAAATCAAATTTTATCTCATCAGCAAACTTTCTGTAGGACTATTTTTTTTAACTTTGGATTTTTTATGGAAATGTATTTTTGCAAAATCTTCCATTTTTTGCCTTTTCACTTTTGTCTTTCCGTCAGTCTCTTCTCTCTCTACCTCTTTAGCTTGAATGAGATAGAATTTAAAAAACAGAATTTAATGTTAAAATAATGTTATTATTTCCTTAGGCTATTAACTCTGAAAATTCTGTATCATCCATTTTCTTTGTGTCGGTTACTGCTAATTTTCTCGGGATTTCTTGAAATATACTTGAAATTTT